TGATTCTGCGCAAAATCACCTGTAGTCTACACGAACTGCAAGACAGGCTCCGCAAAAAGGCGAACCTAGAGAGTGTGGGTGGAAATCAAAGATCAACCAACACATGTCTCTCCATACCGTTCCCACGTGCGTTCTTTAAACAGCAGACGGCGAACCCTAGCGTTGATATCAACTTCCGTCTCTTTGCAGACGAAGTGTTCAGAACCATAACTAGGTTGCGCCAGCACAGAACGCCTTCGAATCACCATCGCGCAAAAGCAGGGCATCAGACAAATCCAGCAGCTAGTTAACTCGGCGCAGATAAGACTTTCTACTAGCAATAAAGGGGGCGAGTTTGTTGTCATACCTCATGAGCTAGATCTTGCGATAACGGAAAGGCATCTCCAAGACATCTTGCTATATCGAGCTTCGTCTAGTGCCGAATTCCAAAAGCAGCATCGCAAACTCAATAGAGAGTGGGTCAAAATAGCCAAAGCTGCGAATTTGTCGCAAGATACCATAGCGCGCCTCAAAATCGAGCTGCCCGCCTGTCCCGTGCTATATCTTCTGATAAAGACGCGCAAGCTCCAATCTGACACTGATTTGGCCTCCACAGAACCTTCCACATTCAAGGTACGCCCCATAATAAGTTGTGTGGGAGGGCCTACGGATAGAATCGGCTGGTTTCTCAATTGTATTCTAGTACAATTGCTCAGATTCATCCCTTCACACTTGGCCAACACAAATATGTTTTTGGAGCGCCTGCGCGAAACACGCATTGATCGCAACAGTGTCATGGAATCATTTGATGTTAGCGCCCTCTACACCAACGTTAGTAATGAGCGTGCGCTGCAAGCTGTCTCTGAGCTTCTCACGGGTAACGAAACTAACATAAACCTTTACGGGCTCTCAATCCCACAGCTTATGACACTTCTCAAAGCGTGTTTAGAATGCAACATTTTCAAGTGGCATGGGAGCTATTACGCGCAAGTAAGAGGTTTGGCGATGAGACAAAGGTTAGCGCCTACACTTGCGGTAGCCTTCATGGCCAAGATCGAAGCGCCAGTCTTGGAATGCCGCCCATTGCTGTATTGCAGATACATTGACGATTGTTTCATAATCTGTTCAACACAGGCAGAGGTTGACAATTGTTTTAGAGTACTTAATGAGCAATCTGCATACATAAAGCTCACGAGGGAAAGGCCTAGCAATGAATGGTTGCCATTTTTGAATGTGCAGGTTAATATATCCTCAGGTGTGTGCATGACAAAATGGTACCGCAAGCCAAGTAATAAAAATATTCTTGTCCATTTTCGATCAGCTCATCCGCGTCAAGCAAGGAAAGCCATCATCAAGAATATGTTCCGGACAGCTCTTCGTGTTTCCAGTGGACAGCAAGAAAGAGTAGAATCAGTGGCGCTTGCGCGGAAAATTGCGGCCTCCAATGGGTACGAAAATCGTGGTAGAACAGCAAGGAGGGGTGAAAATCGCCGTACCGAGGTAGACAGAACGAGCACAGTTGATAAGATACCTTTCTGCATCCCCTATATTTCCGATGAAGTGAGCACGGCCTTTCGACAGTGTCTGAGGAAATGTGGGCTGGAAAATACAGTTGCAATAGTGGAAACACCCCCTAATAGCCTTAAAAGCATTTTGGTCCGCAATCGCATCTGTGATCGCGGCTGCACTACGCCCAATTGCATTATATGCCCTGAGGGTAGGTGCGGAGACTGCATGGCGACGGGGGTCATCTATCTTATCACCTGCGCGAACTGCGGCGACGAGTACATAGGCGAGTCAGCGCGGCCGCTATGTGTTCGCATTAGAGAGCACTTAGACGGCAGGGATAGATCACGAACCTCCACCCCACTAGGCACTCACAGGACGCTGAAACACGCGGAGACAATTTTTGACGTCTCAGTGAAAATCCTGGCGCATGAATCACATACACCGGCTCGCAAATGTTTAGAGGCCTTTTGGATCCATGCCAAAAGCCCTAAAATGAATCGTAAGGAAGAATGCCTATCCATCACTCGTGAACTAGCTCCGTACCTAGGTCAGATCTTCTGACCCGGCGGAGACGTTATAAATAGCCGTGCCATTAGCGTTTAACCATATTGCTCTCGCTCTGGCATCAGAATTCCATCGGCGTTTCGAAAGGTGAGTGTTTGGTCAGGCAGTTAAGTTTTGTTTGCATAGCTGCAGAGACGTTTGGTCGAATAGTTTGCAAGTCGTTCTGTCCATTCCAGGCGAAGAAGGCGGCTTGCCGAAACGTCAGCCAATAAACTGTTAACAATCTCGGATCACGGCTCAGTATCATAAACAACAATATCAACACCATGCCGAGGTTCATAGAGAGTCGCACATTTCATTCTTCAGTATCGTTGCTGAATCTGGATAAGATCAAGGCTTTTTCAAGTACTTGTATTTCATCCTGAATTTGGGGACTTGAAAGGTGCTCGATTGAAGTGGTAGAAACTTTTTTGAATTTCAAAGAACGTCGGAATTTATTGGCTGATAGACGGGTGAACAGAATCATGGCATCTATACAAATTTACGATCTCTACTTAGATTGTAGTTTTCTTTTGTATGTTTGGGTGTGTATGTTGAGCAATGCTTTCGGGATCGACTAAGACAGTGATGACAAAGTTCCAGACAGTAGACTTCTGGAAGAAGTTAACAATGCTATTAATAAAGTGAAAATATTTTGCGACCCTGCAAGTTGCAGAGATAGTCAATTGAGAAATTGAACAGACGCTTTGTTGCACGCGTCAGAGCTTCTGTTATATACATCCGCTCCTGTCGCGGCCTCTTTCCCGAAACTGCATTAACACAACAACTTCGCTTTTAGTTTTCAATTAATCGGCAGCGCGTTTCAGTCTGTCAACATTATTTTCACACTATAGTTAGAGGCAATATCGATCTAGAGCATGGCACATTTTTAGATCACATTATCCTGTACTTTTTGCCCCCATTCCTATCTTTCTTCAAAGCGAGAGCAGCCTGGGAAGCTCACTTTGTGTTTGCGTTACCAGTAGAAAGCTATCTGCTGATTCTCAATCATCCGTGCTTTCAGCAGCATAATCTCTTCCACCTGCTCCCTATCGCTTCTAACTTTCACACTTCATTTTTTCAATTAATGTTTTGATACAGATATAGGATATAGAGTGAGAAGGGGATCATAGGCAGTGAATTTCTAGAAGTTTCTTTGTATTACGTCACAAGTCCAATAGTACTTCATTTTGAGAAGGTAAAGAGAAAACTTGTGCTGAGCCTGAGAGGGAAGCAATGAGACTGGTCTACTTATCATAACTTATAATAACGGACTAAGGGTGTTTACGTGACTTTGTGTGTGTGTGTCTGTCTGTCTGTCTGTAACGAAATTCATAGAGCGAGTTCCAGCCAATGTCATGAGCCCAAATTTTGCACAGCGCATGCTACCAGCGTAGAACTCCACCATACAAAATTACGAGCAGATTCGTTGGGTGGATCCATCAGAATTTGCGAGTCAGACAAATCCACTTGGCTTCTGGCCCGCAAAATTGGGTCTGTATCAACGCTTTTTGCAAAGTCGTAGATGAGTTTGGCATGTTGATGTGCAAGACATGGACTTTAGGCGAAAAAGTGACCAAAGGTCTACTACTATACCAGAACGACGCCAAGAAATAGTTGCGCAAATGGTCAATCCGCCGTGGCTATACCTGACCATTTGAGAGGATCTTTGCATAGAAATGTAGCTCACGGTAATTGTTGTCCTTATGGCGACTACCAAGCCAAAAGAAATTTAAAAACCTAATCGAATTTGCATTTGTTCTTCTGCGAAAAGTTCCATCCACGCGAAATTACCGATCTCACATGAAAAACCCTTTGAAATGATTAGTTGTTTACATTACATTCGTGGTAGTCGTCATTGCACGGTGAGTTTCAAAGGCATCATTAAGCGAGAACAAGTAAAGCATATAAAGTGACCAGTACGAGCCTCTGCGGAGCAGAGGTGACGCGCTGGTTATTATTATATGCGTGATCGCGAGAGTCGGTGATTTTGCGGCCATTGCACAAACTATCGAGCTTCTTGACTATAGTCGTCCTTCCCCCACCACGCACTAGTGGACATATTCGAATTTGAACTGGAGCACGCCGGTTGCGACAGAGCGCAGCACGGTCAAATCCATTTCAAGCTCATGCAGCATTCTTTTGTGTTCTTTCTCGTTACACGGTAATTTTTTGTTTAATTGGAGTTTTTAATCAACTGAGAGGTTGTCGTTGTTTGGCATGATACTAATTTACTCGTTTCTTTTGCTCTCTTTCGAGGGTACGGTTAGATAAGCGATGCACATGGGGAATTCTTGACATGAAGTTTATTAGAGTAACAGTTTAAGACATATTACTTACGGAAAAAGATTTTACTCACTTACATCTCACTCGTTTCTCCAAGCTTAACCTGAAATCACAGTTGAAAAAACGAGCTAGCAGCACGAAATATCGCTTCAAAGCAACAGAAAAAGACTGTTGGTGTTCAAAAATTGGCATGAAAACTCGAAAAAACGCAAGAAAATTTGTTTGAGATTGAGACAAAGGCTGAGTGTGTCGCGCTCTACCGCAAAAGGCGTGCTATAGTTCAAACTCGAATTCGTCCGCTAGGTGTCTAGTGGGGGGGGGGGGGGGGAGGGAGGACGACTGTATTTCAAACGCTCTTCTGCTATCAGATATCAGCTCTCATTTGCTTGAAACAATTTTAGAAATTATGAGATTGTTTACTTGATTTGAGGCCTTGTGCCAGGCCATCCTGCATGTGCGATGGGACAAATTCACCAACTCTCGCGATCATGCAGAGCCAATAAAGAGCAAATATTGCTGCGATTTGTTATTTCATGGACCTGAGAGGCGCTTCGCTTAAGGCGCAAGAAATGAAAAGACAAAAGACCAGACAAAACCTTCTATCCATAATTCAACACTTGCATGTATAAATTTATTAGTAATGTATCACAGAAACAATGAGTATTACGAAGTTAATCAGTCTTTTACTGAGATGCATCTTCATTGTGACTAGCAACTGTGAGTGCGGTCATCAGTGTGGCAACAGAGCAATTTTTCTTATGTGGCTTGACAGCCAGAAAGAAGTTCCAGTTATGATTATCGTCTGCGATGTATTTTAACTTAGCATTCCATCCGTTTACCAGCGAGTCGTATTCTTTTTGGGAAAATTTCTGGAAATACCAGGATGCACTGGAAGTTGCGTCTAAATGATGTTGAACTCACAAAAAGGAACTCGTCTTTATTCTTTTCCACCCGTTCTCTCTCCTCTCCCAAAATTTCCTTGAAGCGCTCAGTCATGTTTTCAACGACAATGTCTGTGAAGCCGACCTTTTCGGCGATCTAAATTTTGATTTAGGTTGAGGGAGCCGTAGTGTTTTTGAACAGCTTACTTCCTTGATCTGCTCTCTATTTCTTAAAAAGTACTGCCTTTGTTCGACGTACTTTTTAAAGTCCTCGCTGAGTTCTCCATGTCCAACACCGTACATCGTGATCAGAACTTTGCCTCCAGGCCTTAAGACTCTCTAAATAGAAGAAAATGCTTACTTAATCGCACTTTTCGGCATTCATTAAAAATCATTGTCGTAATTGATATTTTACCAAAAGCATTGTTTTCGCTATCGTAATTCAAAAAACCTCTGAATTCCTAAAAACTTCAAAACTGTCTAAAAAAGTAAGAAACTTACGTAGATCCTTGTGAAAAGATTTTCGGTGTCCTTGATATGCTGAATACAATCGCGAGAAAACACATAGTCAAAAGAGCATGGTTCAAAGTCATAGACAGTTGCATCACAAATGGCGTATCTAAACTGGGAAATACGTTTGATGTTCAGGGTACTGTATGCTTTCAAACAGCAAAAAAAACGCTTACGATATAGTATTTTTACTAGAATTTCTGAAGCCAAAACTTACTTGACCCGAGCATCTTTATCTCTTTGTACACGTTCCAATGCAACTGCAAGCATGTTTGAAGAGAGATCAATTCCGGTAACATGAAGACCGAATTCCTAAAAAATGAGTCATAAAAAAGATAAAACAGACGCTACTCGACAAATGAAAATGGTGAAAAATACTGCATTTTTATCCTAAGTTCATAAAGTTTTCAAAGACAAAGTTTATTGCAGATTTCGCTATCTTTTTTTTTCTTTCCCATTTCCTTCATCTAATGGGAAATTTGTTGTATTTTCAAAGGACTCACACTAGCAGCTTGTCTGACACCTCCGCCAATGCCGGCTCCAATGTCCAGCATTGTTTGGCCTGTTTTCAAATTACCGAAACGCTTGAGGATAGCCAGGTTTTGATTCCAGCCTCCTAAATATGAGCATGAAGAACGAATAAGACATAGCAATCAAAAAATCCAGTGAATTATTACCTGGAGAAATGAAATCCTTTCCAAATATCCACTCGTATGCATAGATACCTGTGTCGGTATATTGGGTTTTATCGAGGAAATCTCTGAAATTCTGACATAAGAATTCTTTTACTACGACAAGTCTTGATCATGAGCTTGAATTATCATTTATCACACCTGAAGGTTACGTTTGATCCATTAACGGCTGGAAATTCTTTTTTGACCAATGTCCATATGAAATCTTGCCAGTTTTGATGAGCCTGAAAATCATTTATTCGTATTTTGAAGCATTTAGAGCTTTCAAAGAACTATGTCCACATAGATGTAAACTTACATATATAGAATCCTCTATTTCATTTACAGCATAAAACGAAAATCCAACATTTTTATTGTTTTCCTCCAGGCGGAATACATCAAAGTAGTCAGTCAACTTGGCCACTTTTTTAGTGTCGTTATGATTTTCTAAAATCAACATCAAGATTGAATTGAACAGGAAGGACCTATGGCTTACGTAGATCTTGTCGAACTATGCAGACTCCACCAATTCGTAGTGACTTCAGCGCATTTGTAATAAATTTTTCCAAAGCGCCGTTATCATTCAGTTCCTGGAAAGATTTAAATAGAAAATATTACACTAAGTGGAACAAAAGTCTTGCACCAGATTAGAGTAACATAATTGGGAGAGAGAAATTTTTACTCTTTTTGACTATTTGCAAAACAGAAATCGTCGCTGTCATATCGCGGCAATAATTCTTGAACACAAGCACTCAAATTGTGTTTTCTCAACTTCCAATCCTCGAATATGCTGAAAGGTCCAGATATTTCCAACACTTTTTATTTGAGTTTTATAATTTATGCTTTTCGACTAAAGTAAATTTGTGCTAGTAGGACGTCTTTAAGGAAAGTTGTGATTTCCAAATTTTCAATTTCGCGTTACTCGATTGTTTGAAATAAAATTTCTAATGCGTACAATAAAATACCACATACTTCTTATACAACGAAAAAAATACTTTACAGATTGAAGCGCTGCTCCAAACATTTTTCAAAGGAACTTTTGCATTTTTGGTGCAAGACTAATGTTCCAACTAACATTACACGGCAGACTTAAACGTTTCAAGTAACTGGAGTCCATATATTTTGCTTCAGGAAGATATTGGAAGTAAATGTTCATGAGTTCAACATTCCGAACATTTGACTGTAAGTTTGTTGGGTTGATTTTATTTCAGCGATCAATATAACAAGAATTCAATCCCATAATAGTTAGCTTACGTTACAAAACATGGGAATGGTGCAAAACATGCTTACTATTTTTGTTGGTCACGATTATTTTGACAGTGCCCCATTAATCACACTGTTACGTAGTATTATATTAGGATATTTAAAGATTAGACTCCTCTTTAGAAAAAATCAATGGTAGACTTAAAATAACATTCGATAGAGCAAGCAGGCTCTATGAAAGAACCAAAGAGATCCACCTAAGTCGTAATCCAGCTGAGAATTTGGAGTCGAAATCAAAGATTTTTATCACCTGGAAACTTGAATTTTTAAACCTACACATCTCCAACTTTCTTTATACTAGCACATAGTAGTATTCAAATAAGCATTTACTGAATTTTTTTCGAGCATAAAGTACTCCGAAAATGGCACACCCCGCCTGCATCCCCTCGCACATATGTCATTGTATACTATAGGTCATTCGATGGTGATGACGGATTTGACTGCGGTCTTTGCGCCCACATAAGCAGAAAACACTCATATGAAACGGCATCACTTCAACTCTCAGACCAGTCTTTTCCAGTGTTCGAATACTGTCATATGTAAGCAGAAAAAGCATTCAAGTAGAGTTGAAAATCTAGAAAACGAGGTTGCCGGGAGGTGCGTGCGTGTCGCGCGCGTCGCGCTATCGTCACGATTATTCGAATGCCCTTTACAGCCATAGTAAATAGATATAACTTCAAGATTTTACTTCTGCATGTGCCCTAGTTATCAAAAAATACCAAATATAATACAAAAAAGCAAGAAAGCGACGTTTTTGCACTTTTGAACTATTTATACTTAAGACTCGGAAAAAACCCACTACGTACATTTCTAGATACTACTATGTGTCTTCTGTATAATGACCAACTTGGAGGTTCGCTTTGATAAGAATTCCGATTTTTGAAAAGTCGAATTTTGATTTTTGGCTCCAAATTCTTAGATCGCGGGTTAGGCGGATTTTTGGTGGTCAATTTGTAGACCCTGTTTCGCTTATGGTATTCCTACGTCTGTCAGAAAACAAAAACAACTTGATTTACATAAAAACGAGTTTATTTTTGGAAACAACCTAATAATTTCAAACTCAAATAATTTTCAAAAGTTGCCTGAGATATATCCATATTCGAAGTTATCAATTCCTGTGTAAACTTTTGCCTTCACCCGTTCTGCAAGATATTACACCGAGGGCTTGTGATAAATTTTTACGACGACCTTGCGAACGATAGGCACATGGCCTGATCGTCAGGCGTCATCATCGCGTCATTTTAGTTTATTTTGGACCGTGAGATGTGTGACCCCTCTGCTATGATGAAATTTGGTGGAGTTAGAACAGAGATTAACTGACCTTGCCGAGAACCTGATTGACCACAAGCACGTCGAGTTCCACGAGTTCATTGATAGATTCTGTTCCTCTTATCGAAATTACATTTGCAGTAATTCCAAATTGATCAATCAGACTAAAATATAATGTTTAGCATGGAAAATTATGAGGAGTTAGAATGTTACCGTACAACTTTGAAATCTTACCGGGAGGCATCTGCGTTTTCACCGAATACGATAGCTATTCGAGAGGCCTTGCTATCCAATACTCTTTGTGCGCATTCTACTATTTGTTGCTCGAGTGCTGGCATCTTGACTGAGAACTACCCTAAAGAACAAAGTTTGCGAAAGTGATGAGGAACAGCTAAAATCTTGCATAAATAACAGAATATGAACAACATAAAGCAGAAATGATACATTGTGTACAGGCAGCAGTGGAGGTTCGAAGGAATTTTCGTCAGTGGAGTGAAACAGCGAAAGCCATCTGTTTGAGGTCATACCTGGCCTTAAAGGCACCGTCCTCCCAGATTTTCGACTTCCGCGTTTTTGTCGTTTCAGGGCCTTCTCATGTCCCTGATTTCCGAATATGAAGTCGAGAATGCGCGAAAACCCCGACAATTCCCGTTCCGGAGAACCACAGGCCGGCTTTCCGGGGCGGTGATTGGATGGGCGCGCACAAAGGGGCGGGCATGGATGGGGGTCCTCGTGCATCTTCGCTATCCCGAAACGATTTTCTCGCTTCCGAAGCGACATATTGCGCCGCGATTTGGGCATTGGATTGATAGGGGGCCCTAACCTTCTCCATCCGTCTGTGCTCGGGAGGGATATTATCAAAAATTCTTTAAAAGTGAAAAACTCAAAATTTACCGAAAGGAGCAATGAGGCAAGACACCATCTATGTAGGGTATAATAAGTAGAACTTCAAACTGAAGCGCTCTTACTTATTGTTGAAAATTATTTGGATCTATAATAAAGTTGTTTCTGCAGACCTGATAAGGCTGAGGCTGCATTTGTTGCCCTTAATTAGATGAACTGACTTATTTTATGAATGAATAATAGAGAAGAAATATGTAAAGCTGAAAAACTTTTGTAATAGATAAATCTGAAGTTGATGATGTGTCTTCCGTTGGAAATTGAAGCAAAACAAATCAATCCAAACAAGAAAGGTAAAGGCATCACTGAAGGGAAGTTCCCCCCCCCCTCCCCCGCCCCTTCCGATCTTCTTCTTTTTTCAATGTGACCATTATGGAGAGGATTAGAGTTCAAAAATGATGTCTCAAACGAGCCCAAACGTCTCAAAAACATGCAAAAAATTTTTTTCATTGTACTTTTTATTGAGAGATTATTTGATTTCGTCTGAGATTTGCTACGTTCGCCTACAGCAGTACATTTTAGCACTTCCTTGATCATATAGATGTAAATGAATTAATATGGAATGGCAGAGATGGTCATAGATTGTAAAGGGAATAGATGTTTTGGAATCTTTGATTTTGTCAAAGTTGCTAGATTTTTGCTGTAGTGAAAGCCACTATATTTTGTATTTGCCTGAGAGAAAAGAGAGAAAGCTTTGTAAGCTACAATTATTCTTTGCTCAGACAGAAACGCAATAAAGTATAGCAACATTTGCATCGAATTTATAGCCAATTAGTTTCAATATCAAGACCATTGCAAGATGTCAAGCATTTTTTAGAAGTTTATTGCTCCAAAGGGCATAAAGAACCTAAAGAGAGCAATATTTGACGCTTTGAATCCAAATGCGACAAACAACGATCGTGAACAAGCGCAGCTGCCGCTTTCGACGCTGTCCCTCAATCAACGAAAACACGAGAAAAAACTCAGAAATGACCGCATCGGCCACAGTCTCCGCACGATAAGGAATAGATAAAAATCAAGCATAACTGGGGGTGGTGTCGACAATGAAAAAGGCGTCGATCTTGGCGATTCCACTCGATGATAAGACTAGTGGACAAGTGTAAAGAGCGAAGAGCAGTGGTCAGGTCGACGCCGTGAGTGCATTCGAACCCTTATTTACAGCTGCGACTGTGTGTGGATGTCTAGCAAATAACACATTTCCACGACATGCCGTGGGGTGATCTGTGAAAAGCACGCTGATCGAGCTGAAAAACTAAACATCGACCTTTTATTTGTTCAGGTTTTGCTAATGGCTTAACCAGCTGCTCAAAAACGTGGAAGTTTTCATACATACACTATTTGTCAATTATTCAAAGAAGTCGAGTTTGAAACAAAATAAAAAATAATTTAGTTCTATGGATTTTCGGGCGTACGATACTCGTTTGTAACGCTACTTCTCTATGTAACTTCTCTGCGATGAGACGGGCACAAAAAGCATAAGTCTATGAGCTGTGATGGAACACAACATATTTTGTAAATCATTCTTACTTGCAAGTAAAGATTCATTTATTTCGTGGTTCTTCCCATTGAGGACCTTCTTCTCTTTCCTAGCAGCACGCTGTACTTTTATCACAACTGCGTAACTGTCAATTGATAGCTTATGGCAGTTTCAAGACCCCTGTTCACAATGCAGATCTTGTTCCGATAAACTTTTCAGGAATTTGAGCAAAGCCCATGTCGCCATAACCGCAAAAAGCTCAAGAAAATATCACCTGTCGCTTTATTCTAAAGACTCAAAAGTGCTGGCTGGAGAATTTGATGGTAAAAGTAATTTTCTGGCAATACAAAGTGAGTTGTTGATAATTTAGTTCGAGGTTACCACAGTATTTCCTCATCAACAGCGGTCTCAGATTTGCTTTACTATCCGTGAATAAGTTTGTTTGAAATTGGCTTATTCAAAGCTTGTACATTTAAAAACCTTTGTTATATGATATTTTGCTAAGAAATTAGATATCATCATTTCTGGCTTTAATAAATTAGGAATAATGAGAAACATGAAACCATTATAAAAAGATCATTTTTATGAAGGGAAGAGGATAGAAGCGATGCTGTGTACATGTGGGCTCTCCATATTCAAATAAAATCGATGAAAAGAATATCTTTTGTCCTTTAGTGCGAA